GCCACCCAGGTGCCCCAGGGGTCTGTGGTTTGAATGTGCCTGAAATGGAATTCTTAACACAAGTGACTATTTCTGTGTGGAAAATGCTATCTGGAGAAGGCATCACAACAGCACTACCAGGGAAAGGAATGTTCTTATCTCTAAACCACTAGTGATAACTACATGCAAGACTTTTAGTATGGCCAGAGTTTATGGAGTGAAGGGTAAAGATGGCCTCAGGCAGAGGAGAAATTCCAAAGACTCCAGACTGAGGGATTGAGGGAGGCTGATCTCTCATCATTGCAGATTGTCTTTCCCTACCTCTGGGGGCTCCAGAGGTTGTCATACTTCTGTTTCTATTGATAGTATCAGATGGCTCTGGCCTGGGTTATATTCCTCCCCTGGTGTAATTTCAAGGTTAACTCCCCAAACTCTTGCCTCCAAAGTAGTAACAAAGTATAGCTTTCTCAAACGAGAGTGAAATCTTTTAAAGGACTATTCTCTAGGGCAGCGTAACCTGCTTATCAGTTCTTCTCACTCTAGGCACCAGAATCCTGACTCAAATTGTCATTTGTGTTCATTGTCATTTCCAGTTATCTATTACAGACAAAAGTCTTTATCGTGTGAGTCTATAAATACAGCAAGTGGATTGAGAATGGATGAATGCGTTCCATAGAATAAGAACTTTGTACTATTTGTCCCATGTGTGGTTGTCCAATGGGATGGTAATGGAAAGATGCCTCACACACAGTTATAGGCTGCAAAGTTTCTCTTAAGGCAAAGGATTTAATATTCACAGAGATGTCCTGTTATATACAAAGCAGGATACAACACAGCGTGCTTCCAAACAGAGGTTTCCCAAAGTTTTCCACAGGAATTAGACCATTAGCATGGATCAATGGTTTAGATTTTCAAACCATCCTGGTTTGCCTGCACCCCGGGGGTTTCTTAGAACATGGGACTACTCAGTGCTGAAACTAGGAAAGTCCCAGGCAACCTGAGGCAGGTGGCTACCCTCACTGAAGAACTTGTTTTGCTTTGATCTTATCTCCCACCTGATCATTGTGAAGATGCAGGCCACACATCCACCTGCTCACCAGGGGCAAGTGAAAGCAGTCTAACATCTTCTTGTTTACTGTGGGACTGGGGAGAACGAGGGTCAGTTTCCCAGGAGCATCCTTCAGCAGGCCTGGGCTTCAAGCAGTCTAAAGTCTGCATCTGAATTTTTTAATGGGCTTAAGAATAATCATATGCAGGGGAGCCTGGGTGGCTCCTTTGGTTAAGTGTCTGCTTTTGGCTCAGGTTATGATCCCAGGGTCCTGGGATCAAGTCCCCGCATCAGGCTCCTTACTCAGCTGGGAGTCTTCTTCTCCCTCTTCCTCTGCTGTGTGCTCCCTCTCTCTGTCAAATTAAAAAAAAAAAAAGGAATAATTATATGCAAAACCTAGAAATACTATTCAGTGGGATTCAGATATTAACTTTGGATTCTGTGACACTAAGGAACTGGTGCAGGGGTTAATAGGGTCATGTCTCTGCCTGAATTCTATTCTCTGGGACTGAGTCTGTTCTTGCTCCACACTGGTCAGCTTCAAGATAATCAGTCTCTCATGCTCAGTTGTTTTATACCAGTCATACAGTCTGAGGCCTTCAAACTGATGTGGCTCAAAGTTGACATTTTAAACAGAGAGGCTTCATCAAATTACTCAAAGATTGTGGCTTTCCTGTAATGTATTCTGCTCAACCCAAGCTGTGCATTTCCCCCAAAATGGAATGTATCCAAGTGGCTCTCTATTCTGTTATTTGTGATTTGCATTTTATAATTTTTGCTGTTTTGTTCTGCTTATTTTGTTTCTCTTGTGCTTTGAGCTATGGCAGGGGAGGACAGAAGAAGGAAGAATGATGACTTTAGGGGAGCTGTAGGTAGAAGCAGCAATGTGCTGTGAACACTGCCTGAGGAAGCCTTGGGGTGAAATGAGCAAATTCTAAACCAGGGAAATGGGACGGTCTATGATAAACTATCCTCCAAGGTGTGTGCCTTCATAGGTGGTCTTCAACCATAAGAAATACATAAAGGAGTTTACCGATCAGCAAATCCTAATTGTCAGTTTTCTAGGGCTACCATAACAAAGTCCTGGGTGACTTAAACCTCAGGAACTTAATTTCTCACAGTCTGGAGACTAGAAGTCCAAGACAAGGTATTGGCAGGGTTGGTTTCTTCTGAGGGCCCCTCTCCTTGGCTTATAGGTGGTCATCTTTTCCCTGTGTCTTCACATGGTCTTTCCTCTGCACATGTCTGTGTCCAAATTTCCCCTTCTTATTAGAACACTGGTCGTATTAGCTAATGACCCACCCTAATGAGCTCATTTTAATTTAATTACCTCTTTAAAGATCTTATCTCAAGGGCACCTGGGTGGCTCAATCGGTTAAGTGTCTGCCTTTGGCTCAGGTTATGATCCCAGGATCCTGGGATGGAGCCCTAAGTCAGGCTCCCTATTCAGCGGAGAGTCTGCTTGTCCCTCTGCCTCTGCCACTCTTCCCTGCTCATGCACACTCTCTTGCTCGCTCTCTCAAATAAATGAATAAAATCTTTAAACAATAAAAGACAAAGATCCTATCCCAAAATATAGTCACATCCTGGGGTACTAGGGGTTAGACCTTCAACATATGAACTTCGGGGGGACACAACCTGAACCAGAACATTGCCTAAGCTACCTTTCAACAGTAGGGGAAAAATCATGTGTTTCAATCTGTCACTTTTATTATTATTGGATATTGAGTAAGGCCTTTGTTCAATTCATTTGTTAAGCAAATGGTTCTGACTTTTAAAAATCAAAAGACTTAAAGTATATTTATGTTTTGTTGAGTATATAATTAGCATTAATTATTTTTAAAAGTTCCCTGAGACTGGAAATCTAATTTTCTGACCAAATGCTATATGAACACACTTTTTCAATGATGGATAGCCAGTATCATCTGTGTATTTCAATATTCCATAGTCTTTGTTTGCAGGTATTTCTGAAAATGTTATTACTATCAGGACTTACCAGTGCAGTTTGGAAGTTAATACCTAAAGTAGTTAATTTCCAAATACAGTTTCTTTCTATTGCTTTTATATTACCTGCTTCATCAGCTCTCAAGTATGTCTACAATTAAATAAGTGTGAATCCCAATGGCCCAGAGCTGTAAAACTTAACAGTAAATACCAGGCTGTTAAGTGTGACATTTACTATATTCTCAAAATTTTGGTTTTCAAGTCAGAAAGGAACAGCCCAGAATTCATCACAATGGGACCCAGCACACAGAGATAGCTTGATTAAGTATAATTCAAATGGTTAGCAGTTCACAGAGTTATTAAGTGGAAGGATACTCATAGTTCATTATATTCTTAAATTAATCTAAGCAATAATTTCAGGATTGGTGGATATTAACTGATTTATTCCATGGGAGGATAGGAAAACACAAAGGCCCTGTATTTTCACTTTCTCTGTTTTTACAAGAGACACCGGCAAACTTCTGTTACTGTTCTATTTGGAATTTGATCTGTAGTTAGTTGGCAACTGGTAGTCTTTATGTCCTATCGCCCACGTTTAGAGAACACAGTCATTCAGAAAACCCATAGGCTCTAAATCCAGAACGTTGAAGTGTCTCTTGGAGAAACAGTTAAACTAATCCTTGGTTTAATAGGATTACCACAACCAGAAAACTCAAATGGCCTTGTGGTCAATTCCCAAAAGCTTAATTCATATATTAAGGATTAAACAGGATCTTAGGATTCTGGAACAATTAAGACAGTTGTCCCGTGTCATCTATTTCAGTGGTTCTCAACCTTTAGTGAACATAAGAATAACCTAGAGGGTTTATTTATTTATTTATTGACTCCAGGGTGGATTTATCTCTAGTTACCATGTATAAAAGTTGGAGGAAGAAGACCCAAGTCTGCCTATCCCCTTGGCTGGAGCCCACTTGAATTTCCATACATGGTTTCCACAACCACATGCCCCCACTAGCTAACGTCACAAGAGTTCTGAGTTTTGGGATATAAGGAAAGAATAACAGTGGAAATATGCTGGGGTCTCTTTTTTTTTAATTAACATATAATGTATTATTTGCCCCAGGGGTACAGGTCTGTGAATCAACAGGCTTACACATTTCACAGCACTCACCATAGCACATACCCTCCCCAATGTCCATCACCCAGCCACCCTGTCCCTCCCCCCATACCCCCTAGCAACACTCAGTTTGTTTTGTGAGATTAAGAGTCTCTTATGGTTTGTCTCTGCACACCAACCCCCCCACCATCTCTTCCTTAAGAGGGAAAAAGAAAGATTATTTCCCTTCTCCAAGAATCCTGGGGGGCAACAGGTCTGATCATGTGACATCTCATATTTTTTCTGTTCTGACTCTGCACATTTGTGACTGGAAGGAGCCTGGTTAAGAGCTAGAAGTGTATTTTGCTTCCAGAGGGCTTTTTAGAAAAAACAGATTCTCAGTCCCACTCCAGAACTTCTGATTCAGTTGGTCTAGAGTAGGGCACCCAAATTTATATTTCTTTAACTTTTTCTAAAAAAAAATTTTTTTTTAATTTCTTTTCAGTGTTCCAGAATTCATTGTTTATGCACCACACAACCCACAATCCCCATTTCTTATACTCCAATCATTAAACATAGCTAGTCTTGGAAAAAGCATGGTCTTATATGCCATACATCAAAAGGAAAACTGTATTCAATTTTTAGAACTATTAATGTACAGGCAACGTTTTATAACTGCTGCGAGTTCATACTGTGAGGTGAAAAGTCTGCCCTATATAATGCTGATGTGATCCAGAGGCGAATTGCTCCAAAAATAGCCTTACTAGTGTGTGATTTTGGGGATTGTATTGGTCACCTCTCTCTGCAGCACAGCTGTAGAGTAGTACTAACATGAAAATGCTTTTATCTATGTGACAAGCAAATGATATGGGAAAAATTGTAGCCAATAATTTGATGTACATTGACTGAATCCTTGGAAAAATCCAAGTAAAGAGCCTATTTTAAATCAACTCATTTATCCTCTTTTTCTGTGCAGTACCTCTCTTCACACATTGCAGACTTTAAAAGTGAAATGTTTGAGAAACTCCTTAAGCACCTTTGTCATTGTGCAGATGAATTCCGGGAGGTCATAAAAATGGACATGCGGAGGCAAATGTTTGCTCAACTCTTCCTGGATTGTGACCATGGGAAGGTAAGATAAGAACCTTAAAGCAGTGCTTTTCAAACTATTTTTTTTGTGAAGGACCAGTTTTTAGGTTGTAGTTTGGTATGATGATGCTGTTTTTAATTGCTAATCCAGTGTGGACTGACACTAAATGAAGATGGACTGCTAGGAGGGAAAATGCATACGCCAAATATAATCCACATTTTTTTTAAAGATTTCATTTATTTATTTGAGAGAGAGACAGAGAGAGCACAAACGGGAAGGGTGGGGTAGAGGGAGAGGGGATAAGCAGACTTCCCACTGATTGCGTAGCTGGGCATGGGGCTCAGTCCCAGAACCCTAAGATCATGACCTGAGCCAAAGTCAGACTCTCAACTGAACCACCCAGGTGCCCCAGTCCACATTTTTTGATTATCAGATTCAAATCTGATTTATTATCAGCTACTTTCTCAAGTTGTTGTAAAATTGTCTAGATACTATTCTCAGTTTCTGTACCTTTCTTTGTCACAGAGTGGTACCAGCCTGTAGACTACATCTTACCATTTCACTGTATTTTACAATGCACATCTTGTCTCTAAATCTCTTTCCCATTCATGAATGGGCACTTAAGAATGTTTTTCCTTACTTTCTTTGCTGGTGACTTCCTATAGAAAAGAGGTGTTGGGAATAAGAAGCTTACCACATTTTCTTATGCTGCTACTTAACACAAGAAAAGTTGATATCTAAAAGTATTTCTAAGAATGGTATTTGGAAGGGTACAAGTAAGCCAGGATACCAAATGGATTTGTAAAAATAGATACAAGCTTTATTGAAATATATTTGTGGGGTGCCTGGGTGGCTCAGTCAGTTAAACATCTGCTTTTGGCTCAGGTCGTGATCCCAGGGTTCTGGGATCAAGTACCCCATCAGGATCCTTGCTCAGCAGGGAGCCTGCTTTTCCCTCTCCCTCTGTCTGCTGCTCCCCCTTATTGTTCTCTCTCTCTCTCTGACAAATAAATAAAATCTTTAAAAAATACATTTTTATGAACTTAATAGTTATCTGTATCCCCATGTTCCAGAAAAGATTTAAGGATGCTTACTAATTAGATAAAATGCAACAAAGGAACATAGATAGATAAAAAGCAGGTTAAGAGAAGAAAAAAATGAGAGGATACTAAATGAAGCCCCAAATGTATACTGTAATGACTAAATATTTGTTCTGGGTCATCAACAAGTTTGAATCTAAGCTTCCTAGCAGTGAACGTGAAAAGGGAAACATAACTAAATACTCTATTGACAATGTATGTAAGATAAATGTAAACTGGGAGAGGAAGTACAGATATTGAATCACCCTTGCAGCCCAGGAATAAGTCCCACTTGAGTGGTGAATGATTTTTTTAAGGTACTGTTGGATTCAATTTGCTAGTATTTCATTGAAAATTTTTGCATCCATGTTCATCAGAGATATTGGCCTGTAGTTCTCTTTTTTTAGTGGCGTTTTAATCTGGTTTTGGTATCAGGGCAATGCTGGCCTCAGAATCAATTTGTTTTCCTTTCCTTTCTTTCTTTCGTGCATTCATTCTTTCCTTCCTTCTTTTCTTTCTCTCTCTCTCTCTCTTCCTCCCTCCCTCCATTCCTTCCTTCCTTCTTTTTTTGAATAGTTTGAGAAGAATAGGTATTGACTCTTCTTTAAATGTTTGATAGAATTCCCCTGTGAAGCTATCTAGCTCTGGACTTTTTTGTTTTTTGGGAGTTTTTTGATTACTGATTCAATTTCTTTGCTGATTATCAGTCTGTTCAAGTTTTCTATTTCTCCCTATTTCAGCTCTGGTAGTGTAAATGTTTCTAGGAATTTATCCATTTTTTCTAGATTGTTCAGTTTATTGGCATATAGTTTTTCATAATAATCTCTTATGATTCCTTGTATTTCTGTGGTGTTAGTTGTTAGTTCTCCTCTCTCATTTGTGACTTTATTTATTTGGATCCTTTCTCTTTTTGGCAAGTCTGACTAGGGGTTTATCAATTTTATTAATTTTTTCAAAGAATCAGCTCCTGGTTTCATTGATCTATTCTATTGGTTTTTTTTTCAGTTTTGATATCATCTATTTCTGCTCTTGTCTGTATTATTTTCCTTCTTCTGCTGGATTTAAGCTTCACTTGTTGTTCTTTTACTAGCTTCTTTAAATGTAAGGTTAGGTTATTTGGGATTTTTCTTATATCCTGAGGTAGGTCTGATATAGCCACTCTGAAAAACAGTATGGAGTTTCCTCAAAAAGATAAAAATAGAACTGCCCTACCATCCAGCAATTGCACTACTAGGTATTTACCCAAAGAATACAAAAATACTAATTCAAAGTGATACATGCACCCCGATGTTTATAGCACCATTATCAACAATAGCCAAATTATGGAAAGAGCCCAGATGTCCATCAATTGATGAATGGATACAGAATATGTGATATATGATATATATATATATATATATAACATAAATATATAAATATATATATATATATATGAGAGAGAAAGATTGATTTACTATTAGGTATCACTCAGACATAAAAAAGAAGAATGACATCTTGCCACTTGCAATGACGTAGATGGGAGCTAGAGTATAATGCTGAGCGAAATAAGTCAGTCAGAGAAAGACAAATACCATTGATTTCACTCATGTGGAATTTAAGAAATTCAAAGAAATTTAAGAAACAAAACAAATGAACATGGGGTGAAAAGAAACAAGCCAAGAAACAGACTCTTTTTTAAAAATTTTAATTTAAATTTTAGTTAACATACAGTGCAATATTGTTTTCTGGAGTAGAACTCAGTGATTGCACAACACCCAGGCACCCTCAGACTCTTAATTATAGAAAACAAACTGATGTTACCAGAGGGAAGGTAGGTAGGGGGATGGGTTAAATAGGTAAAGGGGATTAAGGAGGATACTTGTTTTAATAAGCAGCAGATGTTGTATATAGGTGTTGAATTACTTAATTCTATGCCTGAAAATAATATTACTCTGTATGTTAACTAACTGTAATTGAATTAAATCTTTTTTTTTTTTTAAAGAAGTACAGGAGCACCTGGGTGACTCAGTCAGTTAATTGTCTCTTGATTTCGGTTCAGGTCATGATCTCAAGGTTGTGAGACTGAAGCCCACATTGAACTCTGCACCAAGTGTAGAGCCTGCTTGAGATTCTCAATCTCTCTCTCTCTCCCTCCTCTCTCTCCCTCTCCAAAAAGAAAAAGAAGACGTACAGAAATTTGGGATTCAAAGTACAGTCGGGAGTTTCTCTTGGAAGTGCTCATTTAAGGGGCCCTATGCAATGAAGGGAACATCCATTATGATGGCCTTATAAGAAATGAAACACTTTCTTAGGATACTTTCTTATAACTGCCTTAAATATAGACAAATGGCACCACGTAAGACTACAATTCAGAAAAAAACACATTTTTTGTTGAAAGAGAGAGAATGCAGCCGAGGGAGAGAGAGAATCTTAAGCAGGCTCCCCATCCAGTGTGGAGCTTGATCTCATGACTTGAAATCATGACCTGAGCCAAAATCAAGAATCGGCTGCTTAACAGACTGAGCCACCAAGGCACCCCTGAAAAAACGATTCTTAAAGGAGCCGACATATTACAGTCTAGGTTCTCAGATTCTTGCCAACTTGGTTTAAGTAAGGAATATATTTTATAAAATCTGAAATGTCTGTGCATCCTTCAGGCAATCCTCCTTGAATATTGCTCCAACAACATGGATGGATCTAGAGGGTTTAATGCTCAGTGAATTAAGCCAGTCAGAGAAAGACAAGTACCATATGGTCTCACTCATATGTGGGATTTAAGAAACAAAACAAATGAACAAAGAAAGAAAGAAAGAGAGAGAGAAACCAAAAAACAGACTCTTAGCTATAGAGAACAAACTAATGATTACCAGAGATGAAGGGGATGAGGGGGATGGGAGGATATAGGTAGAGGAGATTAAGAATCACTTATGATGAGCACTGAGTAATGTACAGAATTGTTGAATTATTCTATTGTACACCTGAAACTAATAGAACACTATACGTTAACCATACTGAAATTAAAAAAAAAAATAAGGCTGCCAATGACAAGTATTAGCAAAGATATGGAACAAGTAGAATCTTCACGTGCTGCTGATAGGAATGGAATAACCACTTTGGAAAGCATTTTGGCAGTTTCTTAATAAGTTAAACATATACTTACCATATGACCCAGCAACCAGCAATTCCATTCGTAGGTATTTACCAAGAAGAAATGAAATAAAATTTGAAAAATTGGAAATATATGTATATTCAAATCCTTATATGCAAATGCACTTAGTAGTCTAATTCACAACAACTCTGAACTAGAAACAACCCAAGTGTCCATCAACTTAGGGATAAACACACTGTAGTATAGCCATACAATGGAATATTACTCAGCAATAAAAAGAAATGAGCTGTTAGGTAAGCCTGGTGGTCGGTATTAAGAAGGGTACGTATCTTTAAAAAAAAAAAAAAGAAGAAGGGTACGTATCGCAGGGAGCACTGGTGTGATGCAAAAACAATGAATCTTGGAACACTGAAAAAATAAAATTAAATGTAAAAAAATAAAAAAAGAAATGAGCTACCAATACACACAGTAACATTGGTGAGTTTCAAAAATAATATAATAAATGAAAGAAGGAAGACATAAAAGAATACATGCTACCTTATTTCATTTATATGAAAATCCAGAAAAAGGAAAACTAATCTATAGGAATAGAAAGCAGAATGATAGTTTTCTGGGGCCATGAGTAGTGGGGACTGATTACAAAGCAGCACAAGGAAACTTCTTGGTTTAATGAAAAAATTCATATCTTCATTGTGATAGTAGTTACATGGTTGTATACATTGTCACAACCATTGAACTCTACACTTAAAATTGGCTCATTTTATTGGATGTAAGTTATACTTCATTGAGGCCAATTTAAAAAAACAAGAATATTCATGGCTTTATTTGTAATAGTCAAAAACTAAAAACAATACAAATATATATTAACAATAGTA